CCAGTTTTTCTGGGGTATTTCCCTTGATCTGTGGTACCAGGTAATTCCTCTTTTCTGACCTCTCCTCAGAACTCTTCTCCTTCTGCAAGATGTTGTCAGGCTGATTCCACATTGTTCCCTTATAAACTTAGCTTACAATAAAGCAATGATATGTCTGTTTTGTAGCCAGCATGTGGTACACATGTGGTGCAGTTAAATTTTCATCTAAATGTTTCCCCGGGGATTTCAACAAATAATTTTTTCAGTCCCATTCCTGTTCGGTTTCTCTAAATCACCCCAGTTGGAATTGAGTGCAATTTCAGAATAATGATTCAGACAGTTCTGGTTTTCATTGGTTCTCAGTTTGAGTTCAACTTTAGCAGACTTCAAAGTAATAGTTCTGATTAAAATTTGAGAGTTCTAGTTCTAGCTATGGTCTGTGGGGAAAAAAACATAGGTTTTGAATGTTTCTGAGATTTGAGCTAAATTTTCCTTAACCCTGAAGTAACTTCATTGGTGTTGGGATGGTAAACTCAATTTTTCTTACACTACTGATAAATTACCAGTCAGTTCTGACCCTGTGGCTGATCAAAAAAACCCAGATAAACAATGAAAAATTGGAATGTAGTTGAAAAGAAATAAGTTCTAGGTGCATTTGTTCTCCATTTCAGTGAAATAGGAACAAATCTGCATTCCATGGTGGCAACAGGATGTCGCAGTAAATTCTCTGTGTAGCTGTGGTATAGTTTTACATGTAGCAGGTTGTACATACCATCTCCTTGATGTGAAGAATCCATTTGCTTTTGGGTCTCTCAAGTCTCTCTTTCAAGAGAACGGACCCAGAAGGATCCAGCAGTTGTCTCCATCATGATGCTTGGAAGAACTCCTTTGCAGTCCCCAGCTTCCCAGAGAACCCTAGTACCTACTTCAGCTGCTCATTGCCTTCAGTTGCTCTCATGCTGGTTTTTATTTTTTCTTTTTAAGCGTACTTTGTCAATAGTGCTGTAGTTGACATTTCTAGAGAAGTAATGTCAAATGGAGTTGTTAATCACACTGTAAAATTTGTTTTGCAACATTCCTTTCAGCTTTAATTACTGGTAATTTAAAATCAAATAGCTGTGCTATTAGTAATGTATTTGTCATTTCTGCAAATAAGGTTTTACAAAAACATTTTAAAAGAGCAAATACACTATTTTATACTGTAATGAGCAAAGCAGATAGACACAGTCAGAATTTTAAGCAGTCAACCTGTAGAAAGTGAGGCAGATTAGACTGTACAGTCAAGCTGTGAATGGAGATTTAAAGTGTGACTCCAATAATACAGTATGAAAAATACATTCTGATTGACTAGATTGAGATTGTCTATGTTGTTTTCAATGCTGCGCTTCCTAAATACGTTGTTATTATAAACCATATGTCAATCTAAAATAAATGTCAGGACGAAATATGATATTACCTTTCTTTTAGAGACTTGGTACATTTGTATTTTGAAAGACTTAACAGATTTCAACTGTTGTGGTTTTGTTTGGATCAAAACTGACTGAAAGTAGTATTTAATTCTGCAAATCTAGTTAGGAAGGCAAAATTGCTAATTTCATTTTACTTCTATGAAACATAATTTGTAAGTATTTATAAATAATCAGCACAAATCTGATTTCTGAAATTGATTGTGCATATTTTGCGCTTTGTTCCCATTTCACCAGACAGTAAGCAGAACATGACAGATGACTTCCACCCTGCTAGTCATCTTCTCTTTATGTGTGTAACCTGCGCTGCATATACTTTTGCTTATGAGATGAGTAGGAGGCTGCGGCAGGCCTGAGAGACACATGAACTCATTAGCCCTTGGGAGGCTAAAGATTTATGTCACTTTCTTGTTTGTTGTGGAGGGATGGTGGCTTTTAGCTATTCTTGCCCAAGAAAACAAAAGGTGAGGCTAGGAGTGAGCAGCAATATAGACCCAATGATTTCAGAAGTAGAAAATCAGAACAACGCACTAGAAAGGAAAGAAGGAAAACTTTAATTAAAATCTTTAATTCCTTTCATATTAAAAATAAATATAGGGTAAAAAACTGGTTTATCAACACCACAAATTCCATTCATTTATGAGTAAAAGCATAAGATCAGCAGCTGGGGGATTGTACTGGTTAGCTAATAATGTAATAATGGTAATTATCATAGAAAACATAAACACAGTCAATACCAGTCATTCACTTTGACTCAACTACTATATATATCTGAAAACTCGCCCATCTTTCAAAACATTGAAAGGTTGGGCCCGATGACTTTTCGAGGTCCCTTCCAACCTCGGCTTTTCTACGATTCTGTGTTTGCGAAATTATATCGTTTCCACAGGAAACTTAACTTCGTTGACAGCCTTGAATCTGAGACACTGTCCCCTTGAATTTCCACCTAAAGATGTCATACAAAAGGGATTAAAATCCATCCTGTGCTTTCTTCGGGATTCTGGGAATGGAAAACTACTCTGTATGGAGCCAGCCACTTCAGGTATGTTGGAGATGTATTTGTGTGCATTTACTGTAATTTGTTTTGAAAAAAGTGTGAACCAAGGGATGCTTTCCTTGTGGGCTTTTTTGCTAATGGGTGTCGTCCAGCTTTGCATCTGAAAGGGTTATTGCCAGCTAGGATAAATGGGGAAAAAGAAATGCTTCGATGTTGTGATAAAAAATCAAACTGTGACTCTTAAACCCCTAAGTGGAGAAGAAGAGGTTGTATTTGTATAAGAGGAAGTCTTAATTACATGTGATGCCATTAGAGAATCAGAAGACGAAGTTTCAGCAGAGGCTGTTCTTTAGAATCAGCAGAGAAGAAGCATCAACAGAAGGTTGGGCCAATTCATTAAGATGAAAAATGGCTCGTGTACATGCCAGGCACTTATAAGAATAGTAGAGCGGGTAAGTATACAGGTAGATGACATTTTATAGGGGATATAGGGGAAATTGAGATATTAGGAAAATGAAAGAGGACACTTAATTAGCAGAAGACTGTGGGAAAAAAAATGGAAATACAGTACCTGGCTTACAGAAAAAAGGTGGAGCCGATAAAATTACAGGTGGGTCAGTGTAGCTTCTATTTCAGGACATAGTCTGGTTCAGATACTCAGACTGCTGCAAACACTAAGGAGATTAGTGACAGCCTCCCATGGATGTTAAACCCAAAAAGTCATGCTAATTGCATTGCCTCCAGTGACACTGTCAGAGGCCTGGTGTGTAAAGGAGAAATAGTTGATGCTGCTGCAGTGAGGCACAGAGGGCCGTTGCAGGTGCTGGAGGCTGCTGAAGGCTGACAGATAATGGCCGCCTTTTAGCGTGTGTAGTGCCAATATGCATCTTCCCATAGTCTCCAGGTAGGAGGTCTGCGGTGACGAGGCATGGCTGGTCAGCCGGCTGCAGGCAGATTGCAGAACCAGCTTTCTGCTTACTCTGTGTCGCCAGTCTGCTTGGCCTTTGGCAGGAGGCAAGAGGAAAATGAAAATATGCATGGAGGAAATTCCTTCTGTCTGCCTGTGTGTCATAAGGAAGGTGGGGACATAATTATCAATTTGTACACAATCTGAAGGACAGACCTACTTCTTTTTAAAAAATTTAGTGCACTATAAATACACCGTACACCATAACTAATTTTTACAAGCTGCTTGATATTGTTCATCCACAGACCGGAAGCCTGATCGTGTTTTCTGTGTTTTCATATTGTGTTTGAGCTCACATTCTTCAAAGAGAAGCACAATTTGCTCTTTATCACACTTTCTCCTTTTTTTCCCCACAGTATTGCAGTTATAAATTTACATTAGGAGGGTAAAATTAAGAAGTTGTCAGCAGAGAGGAAAAAATGCAACATCATTTGCATTATTTATGGTCCAATAGATTCCAGAAGTCATTAATAATAGAAATACTGGGCATATTCCCATAGAAGACCTCTTCTCGTACTTAAGCTTTCCTGTAATGAAGGCCAATTACTGTGGATACCATTAGTATCAGACTGGAATCAGGGGTGTTTAAAATGTGATATTGTTAAAGGGTACGCAGTAAATTCAGGGTATGAATGAGCCACTTAAAATGCTAAGCAATATGGTGAAATATAAAAATATCAGTTCAAAATACCATGATATGGAAAATGAAGTCAAAATACTGATGTAAAGATAATGACTATTTTTTTTTTTATTAATCTCAATTCCATGTATGGTGTCATTAAAGGGAACCATGCGCATTTCCAGAACGTCACGTGATTGTCTTCATGTTTTAAGACCTTGTTTATAATTCTTGTTTTGAGACAAATTATATCCCAGTGGTGTTGCTTAATTACCACTATTTACCTTCCAGTTTCACCACATTTTAGCATGACTTGAGACCGAGCAGTGCATTTTTCTATATAGACAAGTTTTATCTGCGTTACTAGTACTTAATGTTTATATCACTTTTTCCGTATTAGTGGACATTTATTTTAGCATGCATAAGATGTAAAAATCTGCTTACTTCACTTGAGATCCTGATGACTTAAAATGTTAAGTTATAGACTAAGATACCATCTGTATTATCCTCCTAGCTTGGCTTTTATACTTGCAAGAGGACTTCTTTCTATGTGATCTGCCGACAGATTCACATGACATATTAGAGAAGTTAAGTAGCTCAGTGGGTTGGCAAGTTAAACTGTGTTCTCAGAAGACCTAAATCCAGGCTTGTTTCAGACCACATTTTGTCAGCTTCACACTGCTTTTGATGCCTCCTCAAACAAGGATCATGCTAGATAAGAACTGTTGCAGGTCAAGAACAAAGTTAACTGGAAGAGGTGCGCCAGGAAGCAAGCCCAGCACCTGCCTGCACGAAGTGTTCCTGATACCTGCCTCAAGCCACATCATATCAGAATTAGTGTAAATTCATCATCCGGAAAAATTTATAGAGTCTTACAGGAAGGAAACCAGTGATATGTTAAAATAGACCTTTTAAGATGCAAGACTGCTCTTTTAAACGTATTTTACTGTTTTAGAAGTCCAGTCCTAGTTTAATTTTTAATGTCATAATGATAGCGCTAGAACCCCAAAGTTCTGTATTTCACAGAATTGCCCATGCTACAGGAATCAGCATGGGCCATTGCTAAACATTATGAAAGAAAATCAGAGATGTCCTCTTCCTAGGCAGGTAGTCAGTGGCCCGCGGAAGCAGGTAAGCTTCATTAAGTGTTTTGGGTTTTTTTTTTGTTAAATAGTAGCATTTTAATATAGAAACATACACTAGTCATTTAACTTTTTTTTTTTACTGTACCTTCTGCAGAATCTGTCATGTTTACTGGTGCATCGTGCTACATTCATTTACAAAGAGTACTAAAATGAAAGGGAAAAAAGCTTTTCGTTTCATTTGTGCTTAATGTTGTTGAGGCTAATGTTTGTTTTTCTGGACATAGGCCTAATGCCAAGTGTAGGTGTTCACTTGGTATTTCTGTCAACAGCAGAATAATGTTTAGGATCGAAATAGGAGAAACACCTGGGAGTGGGAATAAAATGCCAAACATTTACCATTGATTTTCAATGAGAACTAATGTGGTTCTTGGATATTCAAAATTATGCCTTTTATAGACTTCCAGAGTGTTTTGGTAACAAATCCTTATCATGGTTGAAATACATTGGAATGCTTCAGTCCAATTAAACTAAGCTTTCTCTAGCATTCAAGTGGAGTTTTAGTAAGCAAATTATGCAAAACTGAAGCAAAACTTCTGCGCAGTAGAGTACACATTCTTACTGTACTTATTGATATGAATTCTCCCCTTTACAGTTAGGAAATTAATTTATCTTTGAGCGTTTTTAATTGTTACCTAAAGTAAAAAATTTAGGGTAGTAACAAAAGCATGTATTTTTTAATGTTAGACTAAAGTAGTACAACCCCTGAACAGAAGAGAGTACTCATCTTAGGGACATCTGGCTAAGTATGTACTGTAGTCCTAACACTAGTGTAGTGTTAGGAGCTCAGTAATGAGTTGAAAGAGGTTTTCTCGATTTTGTTTTTAAAGATGTGCAGACTATGAAAACAGGCTGTCTGCTTTTTATTTTTTTATCTATCTGTGTGAGGTGAACCAATATTGTTTTTCAGTGATCGCTTTCTATACTCAGCCGTAGCAATTTAGAATTATTTACAGCTGATCGCTCTTCAAGTTAGTATGTGAAGTGAGAGTTTTGAACTCACAGCTGTTTTCCCAAGTTCCCTTACGCATTTGTTATATGCTTCCTTTCAAAATAAACAAGTAATATGCTTGAAACACTCTGTGGTTATTTATTTTGGTTTTTGACTCCCCTTCAGAGGTACACAATCTTGAAAATTTTGAGGATTTTGTTAGTATTCTTCAAAATAGCGAATCAAAAGCATTTTTTTCTGCTGATTTTTGTCTGCATAAGAATGTGGGATTGCATTCTGTTCTACTTTATTCAAACACAATAGATTAGAATGACAAAACAATTATATATTATGCTCTGGAACAGCGTTGTAACTTAATTATGTTATCGTGTTTAATGTTAGTTTAGATAGTGGTATATTTAAAGAAAAATAATCCCATGGACTTTAATGTTTAGAATCTGTGGGCATGCACATGAAGTTTGGGAACCTTCTGTAATATGCAAGAGTTTTTTGCTCCCTCCCACATGGCCCATCTGTTCATGTTGGATGAGAGCCGTGTGTAAGAAGTAGTATATACATACTTCATGCAGAGAGGATAACAGAATGTACCTTGGAATAATGCTTTTTCTCTAAAATGTGAGAAGAGGAGGGATATGAAATCCAGTGTGTTTCTTCTCGAGGATTCAGGGAACCTCCTAAGCCTACAGTTTATATAGAACCAAACCTTCACGTACCTTATGATCCCTCAACACTGCAGTTAAAGGTGAGCAGCGATATATTTAGCTGTTGTGGTTATTTGGGCAGCAGAAGGTCTAGGGTACAGACCTACCCAAAAAAGTGGATGAATTCTGTGGTGACCAGCTGTTGCTGAGCTTGGCATTTCTGTGGGTACCCTAATAACTTATTGGTAACTGTGGTTTGTGTACTTAAATGTAAGTCACGCTTTGGAGTGCAGCGTAGATATACCTTAGAATTCATCATCGTCGTGTAAATATGAAAGTTCACTTGTGTGTGAAGATTAATACTTATAAAGGTGTAATTTGAGATAACGCTGAATTTGTTTAACCCGAGATGCCAGTTGGGATGAAATGCAAGGTGTGCTAAAGCTTTCATCAGTACTTTGGTTTTCGTCATTACATTACATTACATATTTAAATTGATTATGTTAAAAGATCTTTCCTGTTTTGACTCACAGATTGCATTTGGGCAGTTGTAGTATGTTAATGATTATTGTATCTGTTTGCTTTGCCTTTTTACTTCCTCTGATACATGGAACATATTTTTAACTCCTATTCATCATGCAGAGAACTCTAATTCAGTCATACACAGTTCATGTAATACTTATTTATACCCAAATCTACATTGGCAGGCTATAAATGCTGCAGAAAAATGAAGTGAGACAGAAAGTTAGGGTTATATACAGCCTTAACTCAGTCCTTATATGTACATGCATTTTGTGAATCTCAATTTCCACTGTATTTTTTTCCTCAAAGTAGAGATGCCAGTATAAAGCCGGGATTTTCCACTTTCATGTCCTCCTCTGTTTCAGAAATCACTGTCGTTTATGCAGTATATTTGACATGGCCTTATTTAAAGCTTGCTGACGTCTGTGGTAGACTGTCCGTTTAGTTGCAAGGATCTTGGGTCAGCCCTGAATGAGGCAGGGGCTCCGGCAGTGATACGGAGGTCTGCTCTTTGGGTCGCACGTGTCCATGGTAAAGGCAACAAGGGACTTTCCGCGAGTGAGACTATGGACAGTAGTCTGAGAACTTGATTTCTGCAGGGTGTTGAGGACACGTGGCTCATAAACTCGGTGTAAGTCAGAGGTATTGAGCACTTCACAAAAATGATTGTAACGTTGAATCAGCTTCTGCATGGTGGAATTGATAAAAAGCTGGGTGAACAGTTTACCAAATTATGAGATACATAAATTATCAATCAAAAGGAAGCCCCTGTTCTGCTCACACTCATCAATAGACTGTTGGCTTCTTCCAGAACACAGATTGCTTTAAACTTGTGAAAAATCTCTGAGAATAAAATATTTATTAAAAGAAAAAAAAGACCAACGAATCCTACTTCTGTTAGACTGATAGATTAACACTATCTAACCGCTGTGTTTTGCTTAGAAAAAAATTAAATTTAATTGATACGTAGGATTACAGTAATCTCCCTTTAATTCCAGTAGAAATGCCACCTGTTGAAAAGCTAAACTTAAGTGAACTGTTGCAGTCCGGTTTGGATTTGTCAGAGGAGTGGCCTAATGAAGAGGAAAAGCTAAGATTTCAGAAGCTGAAAGAAGAAATTATAAAAGATGAAAAAGAAGAATTTCTTGCTGACGAATGTATAGGTGGAATCCATGATTTTACTGAAGCAGGGAAAAACCACAGAAAGAAAGAACAGCTCTACTCAGAGTCAGCTAGTCTTTGCAGGTAACGTAAGCTTCATGCAATGGTACATGATAAGGATCTTGCAAGTGCTGGAAAACTGTGTTTCTCCTGGAAAATATAAAAGCAGCTCAATATGCATCATTATACTCATTGTCAAATAGGTATTTGATGAATAAATGGTATTTTTGATGTAAGTATATAGAATACAAAAAAACTTTTACATTTTCTATTATTTTAAATATTTTTTATCCAAAACTAAAAAACACTCTCAATCTTTTATATGTTCTCATTTACTTCCTTTTTTTATTCCTATTTTGATAATTGTACCTTTGAATGTCCAGATTCATTCTGCTGAAAAACAATAGAGTTTTATAATACAGAATAACAAAGGACTGTAGAAACCTGCAGGTAACTTAATTTTTCATTTCTAGTATATGCAATATGATAAATAACTATGTATAAAGACAAGATAATACATTAAATTCCTTTACATTTGCATACAAAGCATTTAGTAAATGCTTTATTTGTCACATTTCACAATATGCAAATAATGCAAACCCTATTTCAGAGAATTTGTTGGTGAATCCTTTCTGAAAAAGGGAAGTACTTTTTTGTGTAAGGGAGAGAATAAACACACTGGTAATGATCTTAATTTTTTGGTCAGTATTTGCTATGGTATCAATTATTTTTTTTCCCCAATATGCATGAACATTTTCATTGTTACTTAAAAATTGTTTCTCAACATTAGTTTTTAATAAACTAGAGCTGAATGATTTTTTAAATATTGACCATTTGATTAGGTTTCAGATTTCAAACAAAAATAGAAAAGGGATTTTTGTTTTCTGTGAATTTTCTTTCTTGCTTTCTCTCTTTCACTCCTCACTCTTTTCGCTTTTGCCTCCTTCCATCTCGCCGATGTCACTCCCAGAAAACATACTGTAATTCAGTAGCAAAAAGCCATGTGCTTAATTAGCATGGAAGGGATAGGGGGGAATCTCCAATAATTGGCGATTTATTGGTTTGGGAGATTCACTGACCTGTGCATTCTGTGTTCACCGTTAGGCCTACGGCTTTTCTTATGTGACCAGAACCTGGGGGTGGCAGTCTGTCCTGCTGTGTGCCTCAACGCCAGCTCTCAAACCTTGCATTGCCCTACTTCTCACTATTCTCTACATTTTGTGGTGTATGTTTTACATAACTGTTTGGTATTGATACTCTCATGTTTTAGGGGTTTTTTGGTTTTGAAGTAGCAACAGTATGGAAAAAATCTTGCAGAATTCATGGTTTATGCTTACTTTTTTTTCCTCACAATACAACCTTGGGCTTGCAGCGGTTTTTGTGAAGTAATTAATTTGGTAAATTACTTAAACATGTTTTCTACGTTAAATAGTTTAATGGTTATATTGAAATAAAACAGACTGCTCATATGCAGGATCACTAGTAGATAAAAAACTGCATTTTGAGGGTGTATATCACCATCATTAAATGTGCTTAGTTTTCTATGTAGTATTTAATTGACAATATCAAACTGTCCATTTTAAAAGGAGGATGTCCACGCAGAGAAATGAGTTTATTGAGTTTCTATCCTATGGTAGGGCAATTCAGGCAAAGCGAGCTGAAAAATGCAGATTGGTAGCAGAAAAGGAGCTGAAAGAGGAACAAGCTTTATTTGAACAAAGGAAAAAGCAAGTATTACAATGTCATTGTCTTTTTAAAGTTGTTACTTAGTTTCTTAATAGATTGCATAGTTGAGTATTTATAAGGAAAGAAGTAATTTCAAATATTTCACACTACAAGTGGAAATATAAAGAGTGCTTTTCTTTACAAAATACAGTGCTCCAAGGCAACAAGGAAGGTGACTTACCGAGCTTCTTACGAACTTGGCCATGGAACTCCATGAATTCCCATTCCCATTGAGCAGAAAATAAATCCATTTCAGTTAATTCATATGTGACATTCCATGTAAACTTAAATTTAACTTTATCTTTGCTGACAGAAGGCTACAGCATGACATAAAATTGTGATATATCCAGGGTATAAAAAGTGTAAGTATTGAACAAATTTTGCTAAAAGAACTTGTTTATATCTCTGTGTATTTTCCCACTATATCCATACGTTTGGACTGCCGTTCAGAAATCAATCCACCTACTACAGACTGGACCCAGGAAATGAGACAATGTTAGTCCTAATTTGTATCATCTTAATACCTTTTTTCTTTTTAATAACTGGAGTTATAAAAGTCATGTTACGGAACAAATGCATCTCCGTGGCACTCTTGGAAGCACCGGATGGTTGTGTTACGACAGGGTAGTGCCCTGGCTTTGGGGAGTACACAAGGTGGAGCTCTGTGTTCCAGCAGTTTGGGTTAAATATGGTGTGCTTCGGTGCTCCCTGCGCATCCCTGCACCAGGAGAGAGGGAGAAACCAGGAGGAGAGGAGCAGGGCCAGGGAATTCTTGTTTCCCCTTCCTTTCCAGTCGGGCAGGGAACGCTGTCAGTTGAGCAGGATTCCCCACTGCTAAGAAATGTGTACCTAGGTGCTCGTGATTGAGCAGTGAGCAATCATTTGGGCCAGTGCTAGTAAAAATGAGCCTGTTTCTATTGCGAGTTATTTAACCAGTTGTGTGCACTGCGGTAGAACAACCACTGGGAACAAGTCTGAGCTTTCACATGCTGTGACCCTGCCCTACCTTTGAATCTTGGCTGTCTTTTTTTTCTGACCCTCATTCATTCTCAGGTGAGATGCTGACACAAAGGAAGTGTTTGTTTAGCTTCTTGTTGGACTTTGATGCGAGCATTCCTTAGCTTTATGAACAGTTACAGACAGAATATAGAGGTCAAGAGGAAAATACTGGGAAGACTTTAGGAAAGCATCCATAACAAGAGACTGGGAACAATGTCTGTTCTTTATTAAACTATTAATTTATTAGGCATTATTATAGTTAACAAGTATTTTTAAAGAGACAGTGGAAATGAAGAGGATTACTCTGTTTACATGCCAGACATGGCAGTACAAGGAGAAGTAGCCTGAAACTTAGGACTGAAACAAAGAAGAGCTGGAGAATCACTGTGGACATTCAGAATCAGAGTAGATATTATATTAATGAGACCTTTATTGATGAACCTTAAAAATGTGATAGGTCAGGTTACGTTATCCAGTAGAACTTTTTGTTACAACTGTCTACTTCTTCTTGACGGTCACTCAAATTTACTCAGTGTCTGAACTTGCCAAGTTTAAACTATAGTCCAGAGATGAACCATGTGGCTTGTTACCAGGCCTCTGAGCAATTTCATTACTCTGCTTGGCTTTTGTTTGAATCTGTGTCCTGCTCTTTGCTGCTATATTCCTCCACTGAACTGGGGAGTGAGGGTGGGTCTTTGCAGTTCTCATCTTCCTTTGGTAAGTTAATGTTTCATGAAGAGGCCCCTGGTATTTTGTTTCTCTTTGTTAGGAATCGGTATGTCTAATAAGTATCATATATTGTTCAGCTGTAAATGGCTAAGCATGAGAACAAGAGTAGTAATACTCATCTCTTAAATCATGGCTTTAAAAGTTTGATATAAATTAACTTTCAGCAATAAAGAAATGCTTCAGGAATGGCGCAGCCAAGCGAAGTTGATGAAAGAAAAAAAAGAAACGTTTAGATTTTCACCTACAAATGCCGCTATGGTATGTAACAGCAAATAGCAAGGTAAGACACTGGAAAAAAAAATCCATTAATGATACCCTTTGATTTATTTTCTTTATAGCCCATATATTTAAATTTAAAACTTAAAAAGAGAAAACCAGGACTCTAAATGCCAGCACTTTGACAATGGCTTTGCAGACCCTTTCTCAAATATCTATGTGGACTATGGCTCCTGCGTGAAGTGCTGCAACCCCATGTGCAGTGTAGGAGTTGCCAGATCCTTCAAACTGCTATTCAAAATCTGTAGGGGCTCCAATAATCAGGCTACTTGGAGGCATTAAAACAGAACTGTGTGTGTTGAAATACGATTTTTTAAATTATTGAATGTCTCCAATATGAGATGTTGCCCTCTGCCAAACTGAATTTGAAGTCAGCTGGATTTTCTGGTTCCTCCAGGAATTTGTAAACGCTGGCATATGAAAGGAAGGGACCTCACTTCTGGTTCTTTCTGAGTGTATATAAAAGGCCTGAAAAGTTTTTTTTCCCCAAAGTAACAAACATTAAAACAAAAATCTCAAAAAAATGATCCTGTTAATTTTGCCATTAGATTCTCATTCCTTACAATACAATATTGCAAAAGATGAGATGCTGAAAATGAATACACATGATTTTTCCAGTGCTCTGGTGTGAAAATGAACTGTAACGTAGACACTGAGTAAGGCAGTTAAGAGATGATCACTGAAGGAACTTGAAATGCTGTGAGTTTTTCTCTTGCTGTGAAGAATTCTTTCATCTCAGTTTCATGATTGCTGGGCATACTACTTCTAACCTTGGAAGTGTAGATATATACCCAAGTTTTTCTGAAGTAGGTTTTAAATTAAAATTAATTACATCCCTCAGTGGTAAAAGGGGATTTGTACAGGTTTAGTGTTACATTTTATTGATATCTGCTTAGCAATACCTGGTGCTCAAACAATAAAAAAGGACCCTTGTATAACAGATTACAACTTTTCTAGAAATGTAGGAAAATTTGCAATTCAACATCTGACACAACCAAGCAAATTTTTTTATATATCTTAAAAATGAAAACAAAGCAGCCACACTTCCAGCTTACTAGGTTTTTTACTGTTGGTTTTTTTTTTAAACTCAGATTTTTTAAATTAAGCCAAATTATGTTACCAAATGCCTCAGTGCTTGGAGAAATGTCTTTTTGAACTGCAGTTTATCAAATAGGAGATTACATAGGTTTACCATCTAACTAGAGGCATCTAATGTAAGTGCCCACATTAGGAGCCTCGGCTCTCAGTGCATAGCTAAAGGCAGGCACCTAACATTAGTGGTCTGAGTTGTCTTCCATTTTCACTGACTATGCAGAAACCTGGGCTTCTGACTCAGGCAGTTTATTCATGTTAATACAACCCTTTTTCACGTTTCTACTCACCCATAGTGTGACATTTTCCACCAACTAAACAGTATTTGTTAATTCTGGCAGCAGAACTTTGCTTAACCTGCAGAGCCATGGGAATGTATTGGAGACAACGTGCTGGCAAGGCTGCAGTATATCGACAGCCCCCTTTTCTCTCACCGAGCAGCAGTGCTAAAGATCATATTTGGTTACTTTACCAAAATAGAAATTTTGATTTAAACAATTTTTTTCTATACAATACTATATACGATACAATACTAAACCATTTTGGAACTGATGGCTGGAAAAGTGATAAGAGCAGGATTTTATTCCACTTCATGCATCTTCAACAGAGTTGTTACCTAAGTTTCGGTTACCAGACATTTTAACCTGATTTTCTCAGACTGTGATTATTCATTGCTGCCTTTTATTGTCCTGGAAGTTAAATAAATACATAAATGTAATGCTTCTATCTATGATAATGTCTTTGGCCAGTCTTACCACAGAAATAAAGCAAAAGCAAGTAGGTTTGCTGTGGGGCCAAACGAGGTTTGCAGGACAGTTTTTATGTGCGTGGGCAAAGTGGGCTGCAGAGCAAGTACAGCCGTATGTTCTGAAGGGTCAGCTTGCAGCTGGGTCGTCATGACGTAAACAGCAGTGCTTTACCAATGACTTCACTGGCACCAGTAGCTCATTCTGATTACTGGGTAGGATTAGTTAAGCATAAGTAAATGTTATTAATTTTACACAGACTTTCCTGTGTAAAATTATCCTTTTTGTGTATATGGATCAAACCAACGTGGGTCACTTATTTCCTGCTTTCTCTGCACTTTAAGCTGATGATGTAAGGGCAACGGTTCCAGAAACTGGTTTGTTGTGTAGCAATATTCAACATCAAGGGTAACTTCACAAAGCTCAAAGCAGGAGCATGACCAAAAGCGGGTTGTGTGAGAAAAATGCATCTTTCTGCTATGAACAGTAGGGGTCAGATCTGAACATGCAGATTGTTTTTTACTGAAAACCTACTAG